TGCCCCAGTGTGTCTGCCTTTTCCCACCTTACTGGAGATGGTCCAAGCAAAGAAGATGGGGTGGATTTTTTTTTTTTTTCCTGTAGATTGACCTGGGCTCTCAGAAGCGAGTGACTGGCATCATCACCCAGGGGGCACGAGACTTTGGCCACATCCAATATGTGGCAGCCTACAAGGTGGCCTATGGTGACGATGGTGTGAACTGGACTGAGTACAGGGACCAGGGGGCCGTGGAAAGCAAGGTGAGTGTGTGTTCAGCTGTCCTTCCCTCCCCACTCCAGGGATGCCCTGCGAGTGGGATCCGGGGCCCTAAGGGGAGGAAGGCTGGCTCTGGGGCCCTCCTGACCCCCTCTGTGTCTCTAGATCTTCCCTGGCAACATGGACAATAATTCCCACAAGAAGAACATGTTTGAGGCGCCTTTCCTGGCTCGCTTTGTGCGCATCCTGCCTGTGGCCTGGCACAACCGCATCACCCTTCGCGTGGAGCTGCTGGGCTGTTAGTGGTAGGCCCGGCTGCAGTGACCGCAAGGGCCGTGGGGGCACCTGCCCCTTTCCTGGTTCTCCTGGCCTTCTGGGGACCTGCTGCCTTTTCCACCCGTCCTCCTGATTGTAGCTGACCTGGGGGCGGGGGTTTCAGTCGTCTCTCCCTCCCTCCCTCCCTCCCCCTCCCACGTGCCCATGGTGCCTACCCCTCACGCCATCCCATTTTCTTAGGCACGGTGGGAGTTGAGTAGGTCTGGGATGGACAGGGAAGGGCGAAGTAGGGCGCGTGGGTCCTCCGTAGCGCCTCTCCCACACCCCCCATTCCCAAGACCCTGGAGGAATAGGCCCTGAGGCCCCAAGCTGGAGAGTGCTGGTCTCCTGCCCCTCAGCCCTGGGGCATGATGCTGCCACTCTGCTGCTTCCACCTAGCCCCCCGACACTTCCCCCTCATCTCCCTGGACACCCCTCTTGACCCTCCTCCTAGCCTAGAGGGAGACAGAAGCGGGTGGGGTGGGTCTGTGGAGAAATGGGGGAGGAAGTGGCTGGGCCTGGGCGGCCCTCTGTGCTGGTTCTTCACCCCTGAGTACACAGGCAGCTTTCAAAATATATTTATATCACCCCCTGAACTCTCGCTGTGGTTCATCGTTGCTCCGTCAAAATGGGCTTTGACTTGGGCTGGTGTCCCCACCCTGAGTCCTCCCCGAGTCCCAGCATTCTTGTGTCACCTGCCCGACTATAGAGAGGGAGGAGACTACTGGGGGGGGGGGTCCCACTGGAGGGGCCAGGACTCTTCCCCTCAATTCTCCTCCTCCAGACCCATGCAGCCCCAGGGCCATCGCTGCTGCCAGGTGAGTGCCTGGGGCGGGGCCTATGCAGAGGCTGTCTTCACAAATGCCTTTGCTCCCTTCCCACGCCAGGAAGACAGGCAGAGGCTGCTGGTTTTCCCCTGCGGCAATTGCCATTTTCTCTGCAACTGGAGCGGTGGGCTGGAGAAACTATTAGAAACTCAGTGAACCTGGGCTGCTTTCAGAGCTGCAGGAGCCCCAGGATGGGGTACAGCGTGGGATGGGAGGGGCCAGGGCTCTGCCAAGTGGGTGGGGCGTTCCTGGCCCAGCACACTGGTTCCTGAGAGGCCACTGGCAACTCCACTCCAGGGCTGGGAGGAGAGCTCCAGGGGTACCCCTCTCCCCCCACCTCCTCACACCATGCAGGGGCCATCAGGAGGTGGCCAGTGGGAGGCAGTGCAGGCCAGTGATCTGGAAGTGGGGCTTGCAGATAAAAGAGGGACTGACTAGCTGGGAAAGGGCATATGAAACCACCCTAGTATTCAGTGCCTTGGGACACAAGATGGATTTTCCAGAACAGACTTTGGGAGCCATGCCTTTGTACACATAGGCACCTCTAGGCAGCAGATCTGGCCACGTGGCTGCCAAAGGGAGGGTGTGGCTTTGTTGGAAGTTCATCAGAGATGTTAGTCTGGAAGTGGCTCCACCCCCGCCCCCCAAGAGCTCCTGTTGCCAGGGCTTCTTGGCTGGGCAGGGATGGAATAAAAGGCCCAGGCTGTGGTCTCTGAATGAACTGGGTTTGTGGGGCTCCCCACCCCTGGGGGTCTATTGGCTCACTCCTTCCTGTCTCAGAGCTCTCCTCTGTGGAGTTGCATGGGTTGGGTTTGAAGTCAGTCTTTCTGGGTGGTTGCTGGCTTTAGGACTCCCTCCTGGGAGCATTTCCTACCACCCAACCTGTTCAGGCCTCTCCTGGGAACTCTTGGATGCCTCCTCAATAAGTAACTGCAGTCGAGCCTTGTTAGAATGTCCCACTTGCAGAAGGGGAAACCAAGCATCACTCCCATCTGTCAATTTGTCCCTCTTTGTGGCGTTGAATATTTTCTGTGGGCTAGTCTCATTGGCTGGTTGGCTGGGTGGGCTGGTGTCACAAGCCCCCCACCTGGACCAGGAGATCCAAGGTGACTATGGAATTGCCTAAGCCACCTCTCAGTCCCTTCTTCCTGCTCATCTTTGCAGCCTTGGATGTGTTGGCCACAGCCTTCTGAAAGTCCCCTTCCTGGGACCCTGGACCTGGGCCCCCTCCCTCCTGACCCCTTCTGTCTTTGGCTTCTCTCCCTGAGCAGCCCCCTCCACTTCCACAGTGTTCACTATCACCTCCACAAATTTACTTTTTTATTCCTGACTGCAGTCCCGAGAGCCAGCTCTGAGATTCCACCTGCTGGCCAGCCCTGCCACTGGCTGGGACATTAAACTCGCTTAGCTGTTACAAAACTGACCTCTGCTGTCCATCCCGCTCCCTACACGTGTGGCTGTCAGCACTGGCATCTGTTGACCCGCCTCTCCCAGGAGTCTAGATTGCTTTCCGTTCCTGGTTTAAATATAGTGGAGTGATTGGGAGTGCAAGGCCTCAAGTTGGAGAACCTGGGTTCAAATCTTGGCTCTGAGTGACCTTGGGCAATTTCCTTAAATCTCTCTGGGTCTCAGTTCCCTATCTGTAAGGTGGAAATAATAGAACTGACTCCATGGCCTTGAGACTGATGGAGAGAATGTACATAAGCACTGATGTAAAGCCTGGCCCATCAGAGGCCTCAAAAACTTTGGTCATTGTTGTTAGAAAAGCTTGCAACTTTCCTGATTGGAACTCGTGTCCTATTTATTTCCCCCTCCAATCCATCCTGCATCCAGTGCACAGACTGGTCTCTCTTCCTTATGGAGGAACTTTCATTGGCTCCCTTTTGCTCATCAAGCTGGCAGTCACTTTGTGCAATTTAGCCTTGTCCACCACAGCTCTTTGTGCTCTGATTTGCTCCTGGCTGTGGGTATGTAATGCATGCGTGTGTGTGTGCGCGCGCGTGCGCACACACACACACGCTGTCAAGGTGTATTTAGGAAGAGGCTCTGGGTTCAGTGACCACTTGGCCAAGGCTGAAGGACCTCCTTAGGCTTTGCTGCTGAGGAAACGAAGGGGCTGTCCAGGCCAGGCCTCCTGTTTGTCTGGAGGGGAAAGAAAACACCCTGTCCAAACAGAGGCATCCTGGGAGGTGGCTGCTTGATGGCTGTGCTGACAGATGTCAGGATTCTAAGGTAGGGTCACCCCTGTTGGAGGACCAGTCAGAAAGGCTTCCGACCGCCCCTGTGGGCTGCTGGGATCACCATCCCCCATCCTGTGCTCCCCCCCCCCCTCCCAGGGCTCATTCAAGCCCCACCTACTAGGGGCAGCATCCCCGTGCCTGACACTGAGTTAAGAGGCGGACTGGTGATTTCCTGACGGTCAAACTCAGAGGCAGGAGGGATGTCAGCGCCCCCTTGCCTTCTATAGGGGGAAAGGCGGGTATACAGAACGCTCAGCCCTCCCTCTCCTGAAGGTGGGGGGCAGCCATAGTCCACCTGCAGTGTGGAGAGGGGCTCCACCTGCTTAGTCCCAATGCTTTTGGTAAACCGGAGCGTGCTAATGAGACCCTCCCTCTACAAACGCTCCGCTTCCATCCTCCCCCACTTCCTTCCCCCAGATGTGACAGCCTCAACTCCTGGATACTCCCTTCACATCGCGGCCAGCAGCTCTGCGGGTTGGGTGGTTTCCAGCCGAGTCTGGAGACAGCCCAAGTCTGTAGCACCTCCTCCCTTTGGGCCCAGCCCGAGGGCGGGAAAGGGGCGTGTGTTCCTTTAAGGGGCTGGCCCGCCGGGAGCGCGGGGATTTGTCCGCTGCCGCTTCCTTTCTGGCCATTCAAGATCCCCAAATCCGCCTGCTTCCTCGGACCCTGTCAGCCCGCAGCCTGGAGCGCTCGAGCCGTCGAGGAGCCGCCTGGGGACGGTACGTGGCTCAGAGGTGGCCGGGCTCCTGGGGCCCCCTGTGGGCCGGTTCCTCTTTTCCCGCTTGGGGTCTCCTGCAGGCCCCACGCCTCCCGGGGCAGGGTTGGGGAACCGGCCGGAGGATTGAGCTGGGCACCGTGGGGCCAGAGCGGAGCTGGGTTGTGATCGCCAGCGCCGGTGGGGGGGCTCCCCCGGCGCCAGTGGGTTGAGAGCAGCGCGGGGCGCGGGCTGACTTGCCTGGGACCCTTGTGCATAGACCCTTGTTCGCGAGGAGGCAAATGCCGAGGGAAACCAGTGGCCTCCGAGACCACTACCCGGGTCCCCTCTTTCCCACTGGGAGCCACCGGGTCCCTTCCCGTCTCGTCCTGTCGCGGTCCTGCAGCCTCCAGCACAGCGCAACGCCCGCCAGGCTCTGCCCCGGGGCATCTGTCCGATGCTTCCGGGGGCCGCGGGAAACCTGGCACGGGCTGGGGACAACTCGTGAGGCAGCGGGCAGGCGGACCTGCGCCTCTCGGCCTCTTACGGCCTGCTCTGGCCATCCCAGGGCAAACGCAATGGATGCCCATAGATTTCAGGCCTGGGTTCACTGGGGTTTCTGTCTTAGGGACAGCAGAGGGGCAGGGAGGGCTGAGGGTAGAGCCCTGGGTGGGAGATGGGATCGCTCAGGGAGGAATTTAGGGCTTTTGAGCAGACAGGAAAGAAACAGCTCCGGGCACTTGGACCCAGCTCTGTCACCAGCTCGCTGGGTGGCCTACAGCAGCCTGTGACCCGGTCTGGACCTTGGCGTCCAGCGCCGACCTCCGGAGTGCCTTTGCCCTCTGCAACGAGGGGAGGTGATTGAGAGGGGCCCTGACCCCTTTCCCGCGGCCTTGCATGGGCCAGTGGGCTGGGAATGCTGGTAGGAAACACCTCCAGCTTCCACTTTCCGGGAACCGCAGGTTTCAAAGGCCCTTGTAAGCCTTGCCCAAACAGGGGGCACCGAAGTCAAATTCCTCTCGGGGAGCCGGGGCTGCTGCAGACCTGGAGGGCAATGCTGCCCTCTGCTGGTGTCTGGGAGACCTGTACTCCACAGCTGTGTAGTCGGGGTGGTCCGCTGGAGCTCCATCTTCCTTCCAAGTCAGGGTTCAGCTTACTCGGGTGTGTGGAGGGGTCCCAAGGCAAGTGGTGCTAGGAAAAGCAAGGAGATGGGCCGTCAGGAGACCTGAATTTTCTCTAACCTGTTTTCCGAAGATAAAGCCTTGGGTCTTCACCTCCCTTGGCCTCAGTTTCCCAACAGTGGCTGCTTCTCTTCTAGACGACGAGAGAGAACAATCTACTGAAATCTTGTGAGACTCACTTTGTAAACTGTTAACAGTAGTAATCGTAGCTAATATTTTTTGAGTGCTTGCCCCCTCCAGGCAGTGTTCAAAGTACTCAGTAGCCATTCTCTTCCTTAATCTTCACAAAAAGGTTATTGTTGACTACCACTTTACAGATGAGGAAACTGAGGCTCCGTGACTTGCCCGGCGACAGACTGTTAGTAAGTGGGTGGAACCAGAACTGATTCCAGGTGGCCAATCTGATTCTAGAGCCTGAAGCCTGTCACTGTGTCTTCCGCCAATATGTATTAGCTACTATTTGTTGAGCGCCTGCTGTGTGTCAGGGGCTGAACAAAATTCATCTTTATAATTCTCACCACAGGCCCATAGGGAGGTGCTACTATTATTATTTTTTACAGGGGAGGAAGTGGAGGCCCAGAGAGGTTGAGTAACTTGCCCAAGGTCACACAGCAGGATGCAGGTGTGTCCAGCCCTAATGCTGGGCCCAGACCTGTGTGCCCAAGTCTGGGTGCCCCAAATCAGCTGGAGCCACTCACTGCCAAGGTGACTGGGCTGGACTTGAACATGGGCCTTCCAGCTGGTGACATCTCTGTGGTGGTCCTGAGGGCCTGATGGCGGGGTAGCCAGCCTCAGGGAGCAGAGGCCGTCCATCGCTCCCCTTGGTGGCTGTGGTTGGGGATTGGCCCGGGGCAGGGCAGCAAGTAGGCAGCAGTTGCCACCCCTGATTCACACCCAGGACTCTGTTCTGTGTTTTAGCCTTGACATTCAGGGTGGTCCTTGTCCTCAGGCCCTGAGCCTGTTAGTATTCTGTTAGTATTCTCTGGAGAAAAGGAAACTTCTGTGCAGATGAGTCAAATGACTTGCCCAGGGTCAGTACTCCTAAGGAGGGTCGTAGCTCCTGGACACAGGCTGATCTTTTCTTCAGACTCATTTTGTTTTTCCTGGCATCCCCACACCTATTCTAAGGTTGCTTGACTGCTGGGTTGACATCCCAGAGGGATGTTAACCAGATCACACCTCTTCATTTGCAGCTGTGTTAATAAGCCAGGGAGTGAACCAAGGCGGGTGCTCAGACCGGAGGAGTAATGGAGAGGACTAGGGCTGTTTGTAGCTGGAAAGAAAGAGCCAGGATGAGGACATGCACTTGACTGAGGTAGGAAGATAGCCAGAATCATCCTTTTAGAATGTAAATCAGATTCATGACACTCCTCTGTGGAAAACTCTTCCGTAACTTCCCTTCAGGGCTACAGCCCGGGGCCCGTGACTGCTACTTGGACCTCACTTCCTGCCACCCTCCCTTTCTCTATCTCTGGGCTCCAACCTTACTGGCCTTCAAGCTGCTCCCGCCATAGGCTTTTGCCCTTGCTGTTCCCTCTTCCTGCAAAACTTTTCCCTGGGATTTTCAAAGCTCATGCCTTCACTGCCCATCCGCTTCTCAGGGAGGCCTTCCTGACCCATCCTGTTGACAGGACCCCCCCACCCCCTGCTTCATCCTCTTCTGTCACGAGCCACATGTTCATTCACATCACATTATCCCACATGGTGTTTATTGTCCGTCTCCCTGACTAGAGTGTAAACCCCACAAGGACCCTTGGTTTGTAATCCCAGTGCCTAGAACCATGCCTGGCACATGGTAAATGCATGATAAATATCTGTTGAGTGAATGCAGTCAAGTCCCAGCTCCTTTATCTATTACCTGAGTAACCTTAGCCAAGCAACCTAGCATTTCTGAACCTCAGTTTCCTGGTCTGTACAATGGGGATAATTCTGACATTGTGAGGCCTATAAGCAATGATGTTCATGAAAGTGTGTTGACAAGTAGAAGGCAGCCCTTCAGTATGACAGATTGTTATGGAGATTGGCTAAAAAGAGTTCAACAGAGTCCTGCCTCTACCACCTCCAGGCTGTGTCACCTTTAGACAGTTGCTTCATGCCTCGGTGTCTCTGTTCACTTAATTCACTTGTGGATTAATTGGGGAGAATGAAATTCTCCTTGCTGATCAGGGTGGGGGTGGGGAGCTCTTGGGAGGATCAAGGGAGCTGTTGGATGTGGAAGCCCTTTAAAAGCCAGGGAGAAAGTGTGGTGCCCAGGCTCAAGGTTGTGAGTGTGTGCCGGGGTCTCTGAGGCTGGGAAAGGGTGCCTCGGAGACTTACACTCTGCAGTTCTGGAGGGCAGAACTCTGGTTCTGGAGACACCAGAAGGTGCAACGGTCTGTTCTGCCTCAGCTCATGTTTCTGAACTGTGAATTATCTCATCCATGGTTGGTAAGAACCCTGGGGGAACAATGTCGGTAAAACATGGAATCGCATTGGTCTGGTGGTGATTTTTTTTCCAGCTCGCTAATGTATTGGAGTGACTGAAACAAGAGTTCTCACAATTAAAGAGAAAACCTTAGCAATGTATGAATTCCTTAAGATAAATGCTGCCAGTCCTGCAGAAAATGCTTTTCTTTAACACAGATGTCCCTCGCTATCCAAATGCTTGCTATTCACTGTCCAACACAGAAACCAAATAGATTTGAATAACACAGCATCCCTCCCTATCTGGATCCCCCAAATTCTCAATATCCAAACTCTTGCCATCCCAACTCAAGGATGCAATAGATTTGGTGAGGGAGGAATGCCTGTACAGCTGGTTTAGCTGCTTAACAGAACTTAGCGTAAAGTTTTCTGATAAAAGTTGGAACCAGCTGAAGAAGTTGCAAAGACATTTCCTCTGTGTTAAAACAAAACAAACAGAACATTGAAGAAGGTGACTTCACCCTGTGGCAGATTTTTAATTTTGGTAAATCCATTGGAATTTACCAAAATTGGAATCCAATGCCCCCAAGGACCTACATGTTGAAGAAAGAAGCACTTGCCCCAGTGGTGGGTGAAGTCTGCAAAGGACTGATTGATGGGACGTGGGTGCCAGTGTCAGTGGAGTGTTAACGATGCTGGTGTTTTTTTGTTTTTTTTTTTAGAATTGCTCTTGTTTTTGTTAGTGCTCTGGTTATAAAGTTGCATATGTTTTGAGTAGTTTGCCCCAAACTTATTTTTCCCCTAACCTTGTTACTTTTTAATACATGATTTTACAAAAATACACATTTTTTTTTCCAGGCAGACAAAGATCGCTTTGTGGCAGAAATGCCTGCATTTGCTCATCCTGGGGAAGCCGTTTCTCACTGGGGAGCATCTGTACTAGATGAGGTGCTGGAAAGAGGCTGGAAACGTTGCAGGCGGAGGCTGGGGAGCCCCTCTGCTCCAGGAGGCTCTGGGTGCCCAGGGACAGGGCGGACCCTGGGACATCCAGCCTCTCCAACCTCATTCCACTTTTCTTTGCATTCTAAACATGGAAACCCAAGGAAGCGAAAGGAAACTAACTCCTACGAGGACCTGCTGTGTGCCAGGCAGTGGACTATGTGCTTTATACATGTCACTTTCCCTAGTTTGATATTGTGGTTCCAGGCTTTGGAGCTGGAGTGCGTTCAAATCCTGGCTTTGCTGCTTCCTAGCTGGATGACCTTGGGCAGATTATTTAATCTTTCTGTGCCTTGATTTTCCCATCTGTAAAATGGGGATACCAATAGGTCCCTCTCTAGAGGTTGTGGTGAGAATTAAGTGAGATAGTAAGTGCTCATTAAAGTCAGCTGTTAATATTTTTATGCTGATCATAGCAACCCTGTGGAGTTATTTTTTAGGCCAAGTGTGGCTAAGCTACGTTCATGAAGAGACTCAAATGTGGTGGCTTAGATACAATAGGACTTTCTTTTTCTCTCATGACACAGTGTAGGTGGGGGAGATCCAGGGCTGGTGGGGTGGCTCTGTCATTAAGCCTGTGGTTTCCATCTCTGAGTCTAAGGTGGCTACTCTGGCTGCCAACAGGTTTGGGGAAAGAATACCAAGGAAAGGCATCCCAGATCGTTTTCAGTGTAAGACCTGCATGTGGCGTGTATTATTTTTGCTCACAAGCATATTAACTGTGAGCATATTAGCTGCACAGCATACATATAACAGAAAAGTGCATTATCAGGGGTCCAAACTTCTGTATTGGGTTGTTTGTGCTTAGGCTGCCCAGATCCAAGTCACCAAGAGGCTTTGTGGGTGTCACCTGGGGATTCCTCTTGGACAAGAAGCAAGACTCACGGTGTCCTCCTGTTGTGCAAGGCACAGAGGGCAAGTCTGGGCCTTGGGCTCTCTGCAAAGAGGCCTAAGGGAACAGTGGATTCTACCCCTCAACTTCCTTCACATCCATTCCTTCCTCTCCAGCAAGAGCTCCTAACTGTTCTGGAAACAAGAATGTTTCCCCCACAATCCCACCACCCTTACAGGCCAATGCATTTCTTTTCTTTTTCCTCCCTCCCTTCCTCTCCCTTTCTCTCCTTTTGCTGCTCCCTCCCCTTCTGGTTCCTGTTCACAGGCATTCTTAGGGCCACACACTTACAATCAGAGCAGAGTGGCAAGTCTATGTTCTGCCTTGTCTATTCTAAATGATACCCTAAGCACTTTCCACGTTGCTGCATGATAATCACAGTCATGCTTCCAAATGCCTGCTGTCAACTCTGGTCTTGTTGCCCTACTTTCCACTCAGCCCCCAGAGGGATGTTTCTAAGATGTAGGTCTGATCCTGTGGCTCCCCTGCTTAAAGCCATTACTCGCACCCTAGGGCTTTGGGGACAAAGGACAGGCTGCTGGGTCTGACACACAAGGGCATCTAGACTCTGGTCCTGCCGTGCCCTCTCCCCTCCTTTCCCCTATATCAGCCAGGGCCTTGGCAGGAAGCAGAATTCACCCTAGATGTTTCCAATAAGAGATTCTAATGATGCGATGACATTTAGAGAGGAGAGTAAAGGCAACAAGCTAGGGAGTTGGGGCGCAGAGACAAGCAATGGCAGTCGGTGCCCCCCTGGCCTCGAGGAGAAAGGGGAGGAAAGAGTGTTACAAAGCCATGAGAGTGGTATTGGGGAGAGGAGCCGCCCGGCGGAGTTGTGATCCTGACGGGACACGGGTACTGCAGAGACACAACCTCTCTCCCCTCCTGCCCATCTCCTGTGTGTGCCTCCTGTTGCCTGAATCCAGCTGGAAGCCAGAGGGCCTGGGGGCCTGGGAGGAGTGATCAGTGCAGGGCAGAAAAGAGCAGAGATGGACCAGGGAGTTGGGGGGGGGGGCACAAATGGACACCTGGCAGCACACCCCAGCCCTCCACGTGCTCTCTGGCCTCTGAACCTTTGCACTTGCTGCGCCCCCTCCTGGGCAAACCCTGCTGTCCTTTTCCACCTGGCTACCTCCTGTGTCTTCAAGTCTAGTTTTCTGTACCTTATCTTTGTACTCACCACACGATATCTCCTGCCTATGGCTCTGCCCCTTCCCTGGACGGGGCTCCTGCAAGGTGTGACCCAGCCTTTTAATTGTTGAGAGTACTCAGTAAATGGCAATGAGCAGGGCAGGGATGGGGGGAGGTGAGTGAGTCACTAGCTTCATGTGCAAATTTAAGGGAGGGGAGTGTGTGTGCAAAAAAACTCAATAATCAAGAAATAATATTTTGGGACTTCCCTGGTGGTGCAGTGGTTAAGAATCCGCCTGCCAATGCAGGGGACACGAGTTCAAGCCCTGGTCCGGGAAGATCCCACGTGCTGCGGAGCAACTCAGTCTGTGCACCACAACTACTGAGCCTGAGCTCTAGAGCCCACGAGTCACAACTACTGAAGTCCACACGCCTAGAGCCTGTGCTCCGCAACAAGAGAAGCCACTGCAATGAGAAACCTGCACATCGCAACGAAGAGTAGCCCCCACTCGCCACAACTAGAGAAAGCCTGTGCGCAGCAACAAAGGCCCAACGCAGCCAAAAGTAAAATTTAAAAAGATATAATATTTTGATGCAATACAAAAAAATAGAATCAACAAACTACAGCCCATGGGCCAGCTGCCTATTTCATTTGCATGTCCACTGAACCTGGACTAGCCCCCCAGAAGTACTCTAGCATGGTATTAAATTTTTTTTTTTTTTTACCTTGACCCAGGATAAGAAATAATTTCACACTCTGACCCCCCCCCCCCCACGACCTCATCCCCACAGATATTTCTGGACTGAAACAAAAGCTCTGCAGTGCAGGACTCATCTTCACTAACCATGAATGCAACCTGATGTTTTCTAGTCTAATCTAGTCTCTTGGTTGTCATTAAAAAATGCTGCTCACAACTTTTCCAATTCAATCCCGGTGTTTGAAAAATGGTGATACTGTCATATCATCCTGCTTAATTTTCTCCATGGTCTTTTTGCTGCCTCCTAACTCCTGTTTAGGACTTGTTGGCTTGCTTGTTGCCCATCTTGCCTGCAGGGTGCAGTCCCCTGAGAGCAGGGACCTTGTCTAGCTCATCACCACTGTCTCCTTGGCCTCGAGAAGGGTGCCTGGCACACAGAAGATGCTCTACAATTTCCTGTCGATCGAGTGAATGAGTGGGTGCTGGAACCCAGGGGTCCCTGGCCCCCCGCCTCAGGGCTTCTCTCACTGGCTTGTTTTTCTCCTCTTCCCAGTTTGCCCCAGCCCCCAGCCTTCCCCGACGCCTGGGCGCTGCCACGTGCGGGACGCCATGGGCCTGCCGCCGCTGGGCCTGCTGCTCTCGCTGTGCTGCGTCTCAGGCCTGCCCTTCTACAACGGCTTCTACTACTCCAATAGTCCCCACGGCTGGAACCCGGGCAAGGGCCATGGCGAAGGTGGGTGGTCTCCTGGGTCGACTTCTGGCTTGGCCAGGTGACGAAGACCTGTCCTGGCCTCTGCTGTGTTGTGCAGGTTCCAGGCTGGGACAGGGGCGAGGGTATGAAGCCAGCAGCCCCTCTCCCAGCTGTGCAGTGGTCCAGCCTCGTTTCTAAGATGAGCAGAAGAGGTGTGGTTCTGTTACTCTGTGTTTGCTGGCCCCTCAGATGTGGAGCCAAGTGCACTGTAGGACAGTCATTTTTGCTTTTTATACTTTCCCCAAAATCCTGCCAAATTTTCCAAGATTCTGCTTAAACATGACCTCCCCAGGTCTCCCCATTGGAAAGGGGGTTTGGGGTTAGGGAGATGTGAGTCTGAATCTCAATTTTGCCACTTCCTGGCTACGTGGCTTTGGGCAGGTGACTCTTTATCAGTGGTTTTACACACCTACTATGTGTCAGGCATGCTTCTAGGTGCCTTACATATGTTACCTGGTATGATCCTCACAGAAACCCTGACATAGGCGAGGCCTTGTTAGGTGTAGCTGTTTTTCAGCCTGAGCTCCTTTGCAGGGAGCCTCCCTGTCTGTCTCCTGATTACCCCCGAGGCTACCCCCTGCCCCCACCCTGTGTACCTCCAAGGTCTCAAGTCCAGACCCAAGGTCCTGAGACCATGAGGCCCCTATAGAGGGGCTCAAGTTAGAGATGGGCCAGCCTTAGCCCATAAACCTGGTTCTTGTGGTGCATGGGAGGCTCTGTGTTTGTCCCCCTGAGTCCTGACTATAATCTCTAGAAGTCCTGGCCTCATCTCACTTGTGTTTCCGGGTGTTTGGGAAGAGTCGTGGTGGACAGTGGACAGAGAGTGAAGGGCAGGCTGTGGTCTCCTGTGGCCAGTGTGTTCAGGAAGGAGACTCAGGGGGATTAGAGTCCCAGCCATCCACCCATCTGGGGGTGCTCTTGCTGCCTGCTACACCAGTTTGCTTCTTTTTTTAAAAAAAAAATTTTCTATTTTATCTTTTTTTATTTTTGGCTGCGTCGGGTCTTAGTTGTGGCACGTGGGATCTTCCTTGCAGTGCACGGGCTTCTCTCTAGTCGTGGTGTGCAGGTTTTTTCTCTCTAGTTGTGGCGCGCGGGCTCCAGAGCACGTGGGCTCTGTAGCTGTGGTGTGCGGGCTTAGTTGCCTCGCGGCATGTGGGATCTTAGTTGCCCGACCAGGGATCGAACCTGTGTCCCCGGCATTGGAAGGAGGATTCGTTACCGCTGGACCACCAGGGAAGTCCCCCAGTTTGCTTCTTTTTTTTTTTTTTACATCTTTATTGGAGTATAATTGCTTTACAATGGTGTATTAGTTTCTGCTTTATAACCAGTTTGCTTCTTATACCTAACAAACCTAGTGGCTTAAGACAACAGCCATGTATTTTGCTCATGATTCCATTTTGGTCAGCATTTTGGGCTGGGCTCCATCTCTTCAGTCTTGGCTGTGCTCACTTAATTGATCGTGCCTGAGGTTGGCAGGCAGATCAGCCGGGGGCTGGTTGGTCTAGGATGGCCTCGGCTGGGATGGCTTGTCTCTGCTCTCTGCGTGTTCTCACCCAGCAGATGAGCCCAGTCTTGTTCTGATGGTGGTTGGCAAGGTTCCGGGAGAAAGAGTAGCCTCAGCAGGGCCTCCTGGAGCCTCGGCTCAGAGCAAGCACCACAGAACAGTCACTTCCACCATATTCATTTGGTCAAAGCAAGTGGCAGGGCCAGCAAGGATTCAAGGTTGCAGGGGGGCGGGGCATAGAGTCACCTCCTGATGGAAGGAGATGTAAAGTTGCGTTGCAGAGCGTGTGGATGCAGGGAGGGGTGCAGCACTGCAGCCATTCTTGCAATCTAGAACTCCTGGGCCTAGCGGGAGCCGAGAGTGAGGGTGGGTTGGCCTTTGCAGGGGTACAGATGTGCTGCAGCGGGTCCCCATCTGCACCCGCCTTTCCCCCCAGGCATCTTCAATGGAGTGAAGCTGGTGGTAGAGACGCCTGAGGAGGTCCTGTTCTCCTACCGTGGGGCCAACGTGACCCTGCCCTGCCGCTACCACTACGAGCCGGCCGTGGTCTCTCCTCGGCCTGTACGCATCAAATGGTGGAAACTGTCGGAGAATGGGGCCCCGGAGCAGGACGTGCTGGTGGCTATTGGGCTGAGGCACCGTGCCTTCGGAGACTACCGAGGCCGGGTGCATCTGTGGCAGGAGAGGGAGCGTGAAGTGTCACTGGAGATCCGGGACCTGAGGCTGGAGGACTATGGGCGCTACCGCTGCGAGGTCATTGATGGGCTGGAGGATGAAAGTGGCCTGGTGGAGCTGGAGCTGCGGGGTGAGACCCCAGTGGGGGCTGGGTCCTGGGAACTACAGGGAGAGGGCTCTGAGAAAGCATCCAAACCTCTGTGCTTTCGGCAGATAAACATTTAATCCTCAGAACAACCTCAGGAGGAAGCTGCTCTTATTCTCACCCCCATTGTACAGCTGAAAAAACTGAGGCACAGAGAGGTCAAGTCACTTATCTAAGGTCACACAGCTCATAAACGGCCAAGTAGGGGTTTGACCTCAGGCAGTCAGGCTCCAGAATCCACTACTCTCTACTCCCTCTTGCTCACATCCTGTTCAGAGAGAGGGGGACAAGAGCGGGGCACACAGCTGATGGAGACAGAGCTGAGATTCAAGCAGGGTTGGCAGGCAACACAAGCAAATGAGGCAGCCCAGGGTGAGTGATAGGGAGTGGTGGGGACTGGGGCACACTCCTGAGCCCTCATCCATCCGAAAGGAGCTGCTCTATTCAAGCCCAGCCGATGATGCCACATCAGAAGCAGGCCTAGTGCAGCCAGATTTTCTGATTTGAAAAGAGAAGCTTATATTTTTATGTGAAATCTAACTAAAAAAAAAAATCAAACCAGTGCTGTGCAAGCCAGCCAAACTCTACACACTAGATCTTATGTGTGGGTCCCTGTTGTGATCGCTACATGACTCCTACCTTCTCTGTCCCTAGGATGGGGCTCTGTGTCCTCATATATCTCCTACCTGTTAGGGAGGCAGCTGGGGGGTATGTAGAGAAGGGTGACCTGACTCCATGTCCATCCCATCCCAGCTGTGGTACCCTGGGTCAGTGCTTCACTCCCAGAGCTGCAGTCCCCTCACATGTAAAATGAAGAACAAGGGCAGTTCCTCCTTTACCTCCTTCGAGGAGATGAGGATAAATGTGAGTCAAGGGCCTATCAATCAGTGCAGCTCTTTGCCATCAGCAGCCGCATCCCCAGTCCACGTGGCTTAGATGGTGGCCCAGAGGTGGCCTATGACGTTGGGGATGGGAGGGAGCCTGTGAGAGCCATTTGTCTGGGGACCACAGAAGCAGCCTAGAGAAACAGGGAGCCCTCACCGTGTTCCTGCTGCTGGAAGGGCTGGGAATTTGGGACGGAACCAGGCATGAAATAAGCCCCCTGCAAACACACATGGAGGTTGTACGCTGATTGTCAAGGCCCTGGGGCCTCTCTGCCTCTTCAACCTGGCTCTGCCCAGGGGCCTGGCTTCCTGCCCCAGGTGATATTGGGGGTGTGGGGCCCAGATGTTCCCAGGCCCCTGGCCACAGGAAGGAGATTCTAAGGACTCCAGGCCCTGCTTCTAAACAACGTCAGTCCGAGGCACTAGGGACACCGCCTCTCCTTAAGGTTTCATCTGACTTGGTAGAGACTGGATCTAGGGTGTTTAATTTTTTTTTTATTATGGTAAAGTTTCAAACATGAATGGTGACTTTTGAGGGAGCCTATGGTACCTATAAGCCTCTGGCACCAGAAAGGGAAGCCCCCTGCCCAGGACCTCCCTGACCTTGAGCCTCCCCTTTATTAAGACCTTTTACCATCCCTCCTCTTCCCCTGAATTCCGTCTGTCCCACATGGAAACTTGTATTCTCCTAAGAAGCTTCCACATTAATGTTAGTGTTAATGTAGATGATGAGGTCTCAGCTACCGACAGGAAGAGCCAGAGCCCAACAGTGCACCCTCTCCTGTAGATGGCAGTACCTCCTCACTGGTGTCTTGGCTCAGGCTGCTGTAATAAAATACCGCAGTGTGGGCAACATAAACAACAGCAGCAATTCATTTCTCGCAGTTCTGGAGGCTGGAAGTCCCAGATCAGAGTGCCAGCATGGTCAAGTGAGGGCCCTCTGCTAGACTGCAGACTTCTCGCTGTGTCCTCACACGGTGGAAGGGGCTGGGGGTGGGGGGTGGTCTCTGGAGTCTCTTTTAAAAGGGCACTAACCCCATTCATGAGGACTCCACCCTCCTGACCTAATCACCTCCCAAAGACCCCACCTCCTAATACCATCACATTGGGTGTTAAGATTTAAACATCTGAATTTGGGGGAACACATTGAGACCATAGCACTGGGGTTCTTGCAACAGCCCTGTGAATTAGGCCTTAGTCTAATTCTGTAGTTGGGGATATTATTCTGTAGTTGGGGATATTAGTTAGCTGATTAATTCATTACCTTAACAAGCTAATAGTTTTCTGAGTACTGCTGTGTGCCAGTCTAGCTCTGGGAGGGAGGTGTAAAGCAGATATAGGCTCTGCCTCAGATTTGGATATTGGACAAGAGATGACAGGTTTACAGAGTTTTTCTGAGGGATTTTGTGTGTGTGTGTGTGTGTGTGTGTGTGTGTATGCGTGTGTGTGTGTGTGTGTGTGTGTGTGTGTGTGTGTGTTGAGGGGAGCATCTGTCCCAGTAGATTTGGGTCTCCAATCAGCTGGGCCCGGCCCACCCATTCAAGCTGCTTTTTCCTCCCTCCCCAGGTGTGGTCTTCCCTTACCAGCACCCCCAAGGGCGCTACCAGTTCAACTTCCACGAGGCCCAGTGGGCCTGCGAGGAACAGGACGCGGTGGTGGCCTCCTTTGAGCAGCTGTTCCGGGCCTGGGAGGAAGGCCTGGACTGGTGCAACGCAGGCTGGCTGCAGGACGCCTCTGTGCAGTACCCCATCACGCAGGCCCGACACCCCTGCGGTGGCGTGGGCCTGGCACCTGGTGTGCGCAGCTACGGCCCACGCCACCGCCGCCTGCACCGCTATGATGTGTTCTGCTTTGCTGCTGCCCTCAGGGGTGAGTGGAATGGCTGAGCACAGGCCTGCGGGTGGAAGGGCAGTGTCTGGGGAGCTTTCAGACCTCTCTCCCCACCCTGCTGGCACCTTCACCTGGAGGTCTGGAGCACCCGCACATGTTGAAGCCATGTCCAGCTGAGTTTTTTTTTTTTTTTTTTTTTTTAAGTTTCCTGGTGTTCATTAGGGATGCTCTTTTTTTTTTTTATTTATTTTGGCCGCGCCTTGCAGCATGCGGGATCTTAGCTCCCCAACCAGGGATTGAACCCATGCCCCCTGCATTGGGAGTGTGGAGTCTTAACCACTGGACCAGCAGGGAAGTCCCCCAGCTGAGTTTTGAGTGCTTTGCTGCTGTTGCTTCACACCAATCATTGGTTTAGTCATTCATCAAACATTTCCTGAGTGCCCACTATGTGCTGGGGCCAAGGCTAGGCACTGGTCATCATAGACAAATAAAACACAGCCCGTCCTCACAAAGGAGTTCATTTCATGGGAAGAGAAATGAATAAAAACAAATTGGTTCCGTGCCATATCCCAAGCACTTAGAAAATTGCCTGGCACATAGTAGGTGCTCAGTAAATGTCTGAGTGAATGAGAGACTCTGATTGGTCCAGCAGAGGTGGGGCACCAACCCAGGGTGCAATTAGGGAAGGCTGGGGTGGTGTACCGATATGACTGGAGGAACCCCAGCCCCATGGCAGGTAGGATGGCACTCTCAGAGAGGGAAGTTATCCCCCAACAGTATCCACTGCTGATGCCCATAGCCTGGCATCTCCCTAGGCTCAGAGAGCTGTCAGGTCTTTGGGGGCTGGTTGGTGGGGTCTGGATGGGCTGGCATTGCTCCAGGCCCTGTTGTCTTCTCTGGCTGCCCACTCCACTGCGCAGCTCTCACGCCCCACATCCCACAGGGCAGGTGTACTACCTGGAGCACCCTGAGAAGCTGACACTGGCAGAGGCAAAGGAGGCCTGCCAGGAAGACGGTGCCCAGATCGCCAAGGTGGGCCAGCTCTTTGCCGCCTGGAAGTTCCACGGTCTGGACCGTTGCGACGCTGGTTGGCTGGCAGATGGCAGTGCCCGCTACCCTGTGGCTCACCCACGTCGCAACTGTGGGTCCCTGGAGCCTGGGGTCCGAAGCTTCGGTTTCCCAGACCCACACAGCCGCAAGTATGGCGTCTATTGCTACCGGCCACGCTAGCGCCGGGCTCCAGCTCTGTACTCACACCTACCCCATCCCCTCATGGGCTGTATTTATTGAGTAGTTCATTTTCCCTTGCAGGTTGGGGCAATTTTCATTTTGTTTTTATACTTTTCAACTTAAAATTTTTTTAAATACTATTTTTTTTTGTAAATCCCACAGATCCTAGATCTTCCCTTTACTCAGGTAGACACCCCAAGGCTCTCCCCCTCCACGAATCCTCCTGCCCCTCTCCTCCAGGACACTTGAGGTTCATGGGCTCATGAGGGTGCTCTCTGCCATTGCTGAGTCCAGCCCCTTTTCCCTGCCCCTGGGAGGCTGGCGCCCAGAGCTGGCAGTGGCATGAGATGCCAGGGCGTGTTGGCTGCAATCCTCCCTCCGCCTCAGCCTGAGGGAGGAGAGGGCATCCAGGGCGGCTGTGGAGCTGGGCTTTGGGCCTTGCAGCCTCCTGCCCCCTCGTACTTCTTTGGCAAGCAGTTGGCCCACATCAGCATGGCGGAGGAGCTAGGGCTGGAAGTGGGTCCCTGGGCTTCTGTGTGACATCCCAGGGAAGAGAGAGACTTTCCTCCCCATCTTTTCCTTTTCTTAGTTCCAAATAGTCCATATTTTGTTCTCATTTTTCCCTATTTGGGGAGCAGCCCTCAGGTGTGTGTACTTTTTTTGGACAATAAATGGTGCTGTGATCCCTTCCTCCACCCCGAGTCCCTGCTCTGGGTCTCACTCTTTATCTCATTCAGTCTTAGGGCCCAGCTCCCTGCCCGGTGGGAATGGGGGACCATTCTGTCCCAGACTTCAAAGGTCGACTGGGTCTGTCCACTGGAGTGGGTGGGAAACACCATGGGCTGCACCTTTGGGCTGCCATGGTCTGGCCTTGCCTGCCCTGGGGACACCCTGCCTCGGGGGCTGGCCTAGCAGCTGGAGGTGCTGGCTCGCTCTCCCACCATCCCACTCCCGGCTGTGAGTCTGTGCGGACACAGCACAAGAGTGGGAGGTACCTCTCGGGAGACCAGAGGAAGCTGTGCCCTGCAGAGGGTCTTGGAGACCAGCCCTCTCTGTGCCTCACCTTCTGTCCCCACCGCCCCCCATGTCAGCCTCAGGAAACCAGACCATTTGCCTCTGCACAGGCACACCTCTGTCACCCACAATCAGTAACTCACTCTATCCTTCACGTAGCCCAGTGCTTCTCAAAGTGTGGCCAGCACCACCAGCTTCACCTGGGAACGTGTTCGAAATGCAAATTTCTGGACCCCACCCCTGACCTGCTGAGTCAGAAACTCTGGAGTGGGACCCAGCACAAGCCCTCTCGTTGCTGATGCAGGCTCAAGGTTGAAAACTACTGACACAGTCGTGTTCCCAATGAATCAGTTAATTAATCAATAAACTGCATGATTATTGCGTTCCTCCTATGTGACCATTGCTGCATCCTCTGCTTTTGTCCACTGATCCTTTCCAGATCTGTAGGTAACCTGGGTACACAAAAATATTCACCAACAAATAACCACACACGTACACACCCAAAGAGACACTAGCAGACTCACACTGGCACACACTAACCAACACCCAGACACCTTCATAAACACAGAATCAGTGCCCGCTGAGCAAGTGTGATGAGAGGGTGGCGCCGACCTGGCCTTCTAAGGAGGAGGCTGGCGGAGGGTCACTGCCTGGAGTGCACACTCCAGCTCGACTCAAGGTCTGTTGAGGGAAATCCATAAACAGTCGAAATCGTTTTCGTTGGTATCCTACAGCCTACTTAAGGGCAGGATGCCCGGACCTTTGTGCTAGCGGCTAGCTAACCATTTGACCTCAAAAATGTATAAGCAAGATTCACTGTTCCTAGGCTGTCTGCAATTTTTTTCTTCCCTCTTATAAATCCTGATTTTGCTTCTGTTCTTGGACTCTCTCTACCAATCGACTCTTCCTATGTGAGCAAACAGTGTAAATCAAAGGACCAAACTCCGGATAGTGGCCAGATGTCTCACTTGAGTTGTTCTTTGACAGCATGCCAACTGGCAAATCCATACACAGCACCCGTTGGCTGTCTCTCTCTCTCACACACACACACACACACACACACCCACACCCACACCCACACCCACACACACACACACAATCCATCATCCGCACAGGTACACTTGCGAAAATAAAGCACCACAAGTGTGACTGTCCCAGGCTTTCTGATCAGGCAGAATTTGCAAGAATTCGGGGTCATTTGATCAAAATGTGTCCCCACTGCCCCCATACCTAACAGCCCCTTCAGTTGACCCTGGACCATGGTCGCCTTCTCTTTAAATTAAGAAAAGAAGGGAAAAGAAAAGAAATAGATCTCTTCCAATGTCTTTATTATCATTATAATTATCATAATCTTTAGTTTTCAAAAATATAAATAGGTGCACGGAACCCTGGTGCCTGCACGGTCCCGGGGGGTGGGGGAGGGAGGGGGGAGGGTTGGGCGGCACTCCCACTGGGAAGGAAATGCCCCCCGCCCAGCCCTGCCAGAGATCGAGATCGACACCTGCTGGGGTGGCAGACCTGGGTGAGACGACTCTGGAAAAGGGTCCCTCGGAAGGAACCCGACCCCCACGCCTCGGAAGATCCCTCGATTGCTCTCTCCTGCCCGCTCACCTGCGGCCGGAAGCCACCCCGTCTCCCCCAGGCTTCTCCCCCGCACAGATGGTGCAGCCCTCAGACTCCGTCTCATCCCATACATTCAGCTGCGGTTCCGCACTCTTCATGCCCTCAGGCCTCTGCCCCTTCCTCCCTCCTCCCTAGCTCTCCCTGGAGGTGAAAGAACCAACGATTGCACTGCTCTTGGATAAAGTCAGGAAACAAAAAATTACCTTCTTTATTTAACTTAACTCCTCCCCTTCTCCCCCTGTCCCTGCGCTGGTCCCTGGAAAGGCACAACGGGAGATTGAAGAAACGTCTCTAAATTCAGTCCACGGGTTACATTACGTTTGCTTTGCTTTGGCATTTGGGAGGAAAATTAGATGCAGTTTGGCGATTTGGGGGGGTGGGGGGGTGCATACACAATGTGGGATTTATTTTTTTTCCTTCTTTAATGGAATTCCTTATATGACAGAAAGCGACAAGGAGAGGACACCATCCCTGTGGGATGTCAGCCTGGCAAGGCTCCTGGGCTCAGCATCCTGGGCACATCCTGGAAGCTCCTCTCAGTGGGCCGTGCTGGGGCGGCTCCTCCGCAGGGGCTGTGAGCTCCGCTTCTGTAGTCTGCGCTTGTAGGTAGAGGCTGGGGTGAAAGGGAGATGGAAACATCTGGGTGAACCCTGGGAAGAAAGTGGGCCAACCCAGCCTCTCCCCGTCCTGACCCTTCTCCGCTGGCTCCCCTCCCTGCAGAAACCATGGGCTCTGGAAGGCAGCCTGAGGCTTTACCCACTTCCTGGTTTTGACTTTTCTTGGAACCACCTTGGGCTTCGGGGCTTCGGGGCTGGTGTTGAAAAGGAAAGTGGGCCACCTGCTTTCATCTTCACCTTCTCAGTGCAAGTGAGCCCTCCCTGGGGGCAGCGGACATCTGTGATTGAGCCCATGGACGGTGCAGACAGCGGGGGGCAGGGAGGAGGACGTGTTGGCGGTATCTAACGCTGTGTGGGGCGATGCTCACGGTCTGTGCAGGTGATCCGAGGGTCCTCCCAGTGCCCGCTGGGCTGGCACCGGATGGTGGGCACATGGCGCTGGACAAAGCCCTCGGTGCACTGGTACCGCACCAGGGAATTGATCTCGTACCGGTCCTTCTTCTGCCCGAAGATCCTGGCGTGCTCCACCACGGGGGGCTCTCCGCAGGCCACTGAGGGGCAAACACCCTTCAGAAAGGGCTCTGAGAGGGTCTCCCGTGATGCCCCATGCTGGTCATGAGCCAGTATGGCCCCCTCTGGCTGTGAGGAGATGGGCTCAGAGCCCAAGGAAGGGGCACGGAGCTGGAACACCCAGCAGTGAGCCCTGACTGCTGGGGAAGGGGTGCTTTCATGCCGCACTAAGAATCTGGAAAACACTGGTTCTAACATTTGGGTTCCTTGATAATTTAGAGCAGCAGTAAGGGAATAAAAGGGAGAAAGGTGGGGAAAGAGGGTGAGAGCCCGGCAGACTGTCTGTGACTTCTCTATGAAAACAGTGATGCAGGGGAAAGTGGGAACTAAAGGAGGCCTCGGGGGCAAGGGAGGGGAATGCGGCCAGGAGCGGGAACAGGTGGGGAGTGTCCTACCTGCACCTAGGTGTCCACAGACTTAAAGCTGATGATCAAGGCTGACAACTCAGACTCTGCGACTGACGGGCTTGGGAACCCCAGAGAGGGAGGCTCCCAACCTGTGTGTGATTGTGGGTGACTTTCTGTGCTGATATCCAAGGCACCGTATGTGTGGAGGGGGTCTGTCCTCCTGTGACCTTCACCCTCTTCCTGTCCCTAGTGGGCTGGCCCTTTCCATCAGCTCTGGGATGCTGGCATTGGGAGTGGCCCCCCAGGTCAGCTCCAATCTGCTAGTTGGGCGGGCAAGGTGACCTCAACAGCCAGGAGTCCGGATGACTCGCCCCAGGTCACACAGCAGGAGCCTGGAGTCTTGATTCTCTCCACGCTGCTTATCCCTCCCAGGCTGCTGCTTACCTGTGCCCTTTTTACACGTGAAGGGCAGCTGGTAATTGCAGGGAACGTCATTCCACTCGCCCTTCTCATGCCAGATCATCACCACGCAGTCCTCCCCAGTGGCAAAGAAGTTGTCTGGCTGGTTGGGGCGCCAGTTCTCAAATTGCTGTGGGTGGGAGTGGGGAAGGGGTGAGGAGGGGGCAGCCGCAGTACAGCTTGGCCGGACCCCTGCTCTCCCTCTGCATCAAGCCCCTTCCTGGCGGGGGCGCAAAGACTGCTGGGAGTCTGGTCAGGGCTGTCCCAGGTGCCACGGAACCCACAGGCCCTCCAAAGAACTGCTCACACCACCTGGCTGTGGTCCTTGCCAGGAACTCAGAGCCCCCAGGACTCACAGTCCCTGTTAATGAGCTGACAACACTCTCCTCTTCCATATGGGCCAACGGGGCTGGTCACCCAGGCTGCCTGCTTGGGCAGGACTGGGAGGTACAGATATGGCTCGCAAGTCCAGACTCTGCCATCCCAGGCTTCTCCCTCTAGCCTGACTCAGGGACAAACAAGTCCCCTTTCCTCTAATGTAACTGCTCCCCTCCCCCATGACTCTGTTCATCTTCGCCTCTTCCAGGGAGCCTTCCCTGAGGTCCTTTGCTGACCTCCATCATTTACTATGTGTACTGTTCAGCTGGCAACTATGTTGCTTTCTATCTGTCTGTCTGTCTCCTTGAGTGGACTCGAGTCCTCTGTGGGCAAGGAACCACTCTAAAGCTTCCACGTTCCCTCTCGGTGGTTTGCCTTCATTCATTCATTGCCTTCCTCGTCCCTCACCCTTCCTTTCATGCCATTATTCAGTTGTGCAGCCCTGGCCTGGTCTCTAAAGGGACAAGAACGAGACACAATCTCTGATCTCAGGGCTCGCAGTCCAGCAGCTGCTCAGTGAATGTCTGCATGTGATTTGAATGTGTCTCTCTCTGGGGGTCTTTATTCATCTCCTCTGGGCCGCCAACTATCCCGGGTGCCCCCAGCAGAACTCACCAAGGAGTGTCCATCTGACCAGCGGAAGTCTCCTTCGATGGTCTTGTCATTCAGGCCGATCCACTGATAGTCCTGAGCATTGTCTGGAGAGAAGACATGGGTATGGGGCGCCCTGAAGGTGTCTGAGAAACTTGAGCTCGTAGAGACAGAGGGGATGGAGGGGTGGCAGGAGCTGGGTGGGCTCCTAGGAGCGTAACACCTGCCTCCAGGGTCCTGACAAGGGTCTTAGCACCTGCACGTTTGGAGTGCATTTGGACCATCTCCCTGAGCTGACATGGACTGGTGACAGACTCGGGGTTAATCCAGGGCTGACTCTGACAGACAGTGGGCTGTCCTGGGTGCAGCCAGAGCCGTTGGCCCCTCAGGCGGCAGAAATGCCCTTCCCTCCCTCCCTGCCCCCAACCCCTGCCGCCTCACTGGGCCCAAGTCCGCTGACTGCTGTCAAGGGAGATCCTTCGCCCACGTGACCGTTCTCCATTTGGGCCCCTGAGGCCCGGCGCACTCACTGTTGACAAATTCCTGCTCCTCAGGGGTGACGATGCTGCTCAGGTGTGACTGCTGCTTCCGGCACTGGCCCTCGGCGTCCACCCAGGTCGCCCGGTCGGGGAAGTGGCGGTAACAGTGGCCCTGGAACTTGGTCCAGCCCTTCTCACACAGCTTCTGGTCTGCAACACAGGTCAGGGGCTTGAGGAGAGGGCCTGGAGGCCGACTGGGGATGGCGTCTGCTGCCAGTCTCAGGGCAGGGATTCCTGCGTTCACCCTGCCTTCCGTGTCGCTCCCCAAAGGAAGGGAGAGGCCCGACTGGATCGGGGCTCAAGTTGGAAGCCAAGAGGCCTGGCCCTGCCCCCTCCTCCCCCAGGAGCCTCTGGGAAATGCCAGGGACCCTTTCTTTTCCTGATATTGCCTCCCACCCCCAAAGCTTTTCTCCTGTTGAAGTCTGCTCTGCAGGGCTGGCAGAGCTCAGCAGCCAGGTAAAAAGAGATGGGAAGGTAGGAGGTGTTGAGACTTAGGGAAAAACATGGCTCAGAGGCTGTGAGGGGCTCCAGGGAGAGAGGGAGCTGTGGGGAAGTGTGTGAAGGGGGCAGCAGCAGGCGGTGCTGGGGGCATGAAATGGAAACTTGGGTGGGGACAGAGGAGCAGAAATGTCTGCTTTGGGTCCAAAGAAGACACAGAGCTCTAAGTCTATCCTATCAGAGCACATGATACTGCCTCAGGGTCCACGACCCAGGGACCCTGGCTTTTCATTCTATTTCTTGGTGGCAGATGGGAAGAGGGGAAGGGCTTCTCTGCTCCCAAGCCTACATTGGTAATGGATTCTGAGTCCAGCAGAAGGCACTGATGTGGAGCTCTTGGAGCAGAGCCTAGAGGGACAGACAGAGGCAGGTGGTGCTGGAACTGGCCCCTTCAGGCTTGGGAAAGCCATTAGGAGTGTGTCTTCCCAACTCGGCCTTTATTTTTTAATTTTATTTTATTAATTTATTTATTTAACTATTTTTGGCCGCTCTGTGCGGCATGCGGGATCTTAGTTCCCTGACCAGGGACTGAACTCGTGCCCCCTGCAGTGGAAGCGTGGAGTCTTAACCACTGGACCATCAGGGAAGTCCCCAACTCGGCCTCTAGTGACATTACATTGGTAGCTTTAACTGGCCCTCGTGAGAGTGTTATACCCCAGAAATTGGCAGATGCTACAAATCAGGGATCCTCCTTCCTCTCTGAGAGTCAGTTGTTAAACACCTGCCAGCACAGTACGGGACAGAGGGAATTCCAAGACCCTCTTTTCTTTCTTCCCCTGGTGCCTCACAGGTGAAGGGCTGTCCCTAGGGCCCCGGAGCTGAGTGTAGGGCCATGAACCCCCCAGGCTGTATGGCGGCCTCCCTGGTCTGGCTGTTCCGGGAAGAAAGGACCAGTACCTGAAGGGAAGGATGCTTAAGCTGAAGGGGTGGATGCTTGGCAGGGTTGGAAGACGGACGCTTGGGAAGAGCAGAGAGAGAGAAGAGTTTGAGGCCAGCAGCCTTTGAAGAAAGAGGCAGAGCAGCAGGAAGGCTTGGGAGGATGCTGCCAATGCCTTCCCCAAGGGTTTGGAAAGAAAGGCAGAGAGACTTCAGAGGTAGCTGAGCACCTGAGGAGGCCAGAGACATGTCATCCCAGGGCTGACTGTGGGTCCATTTTGGGGCCACCTGAGTGCCTGAGGGCTGAGTTGGGTGGGCAAAGCTGGAGGCAGCAGCTGTGCTGGGAGGGGCCAGGGCCATGCAGGATGGAGGCTCTGGGGAAACAGCAACACAATTCCAGGAAGGCTGCAAGAAGGAGCAGGGCCAGAGCCAAGGCTTGAAGCACCCCTGGGGTGGTGAGCGCTCAGGATTGGAGTAGGAGAAGAGATGCAGCCCTGCTCGGTTGGGCGCCCAGGCCCAGGGACCGGTTCGGGGGCTCTGGCACCCTCTCTCTGCTCCATCAGAGTGCAGAGCCCTCTGCGGGCCTGGCCTCCGCTCCAGCAGGGCACTTCCTCTCCCAGTCTGACACCCAAGAGCTGTTGTCTGCGTGGACATTCCATGCCCTTCTCCCTGTGGCAAATATTCTGGCACCCTGGGGAGGAAATCCTTGTAACTCTCCACTCCCACCTCAGACAAGACCCCATGCACCAGTTTCTTGGAGTCTTGGGGTGAAGGTGGAGAATGGGAGGCTGCAGGGAAGGAGGGTCCAGGCCAAGTCTTTTCTTCCAGAAGTTCCTCCACCAGTCTGTAACCTTGGCAGTGCCTCCAAGGAACATGCAATCCAAAACTACCTTCCCACTCTGATTAGGAGTTTCAGTTGCTGTCTGGAAGTTTCTGGGATGTCTAAATTGAGAGTTCATTGAAAATGGTTTTGAGCCCCTAAACACTTCCAGTTCTGCAAGGACCATTGCTACTAGCAACTGCAAGCTCCACCTCCCCATTTCTGAGACGGGGTGGCCCTGAGATGGGGAGACTAGGAAACACTGAAGGTGAGAGGGCTGTGGGCTCAGTCTGGCCTCAGGAAGTTCCTGGCCCACAGCTCCCCTTGGCAGGGCCTGGCCCAGGTGCAGAAACTGAGGGGTTGGCAAGGCCCAAGAGAGGAAGCTCAGAGCCCTTGCAGCGAGGCTCTGTTCTCTCTGGCCAGCCTTTTGCCTTGCACAAGGGAGGGAGCAAGGAAGCGTGGACCGGAGTGGCACTGATGTGGCAGCTGTCACGGTGGCAATGAGGACAAGGTGACATGCAGCTGTCCTTGTGCATGCATGACTTGAGCATGCTGGTGACACGGGAGCTCTCAGACAGATAGACCATAGCTCTTGCCAGAGAAGAAGAGGAAGGCAGCTTGACCAGTGTGGCACGGTGGCTCCCAAGGCCATGGAGGGGCCACAGAGGTCCCGTGGGCAATACGGCAGGCAGACACATGCCCATGGCCATGCTGGGAAGATCCGGGGCTCTCATCCGGAGCAAGAACCAATGACTCCCACCCATAGTGTCCTTCAAGACAAATGCATGGAATTGGCCCTGTCTTCTTAGTCTGATGCATGCACCAACTTTGCTGGTGGCATCTGGAAGCCCTGGAGCAGGTTAGTGTTTGAAAGGTCCCCCAGAGCCCCACCTTCCAAAGTGCAGGCTGGCCCGGCCTGCATGTCTCTTCTGCGGTCAGATCAGCCAGTGCCCCAGAGGAGGGTTTCCGCAGGGAACAGCAAGAGAAGGAGTGAGAGTGAGTGGGGCCGACTTCTCACTTGTGGCCCCTGAAGTGGCTGTCTGGATGGATCTTGGGGGCCCCACAGGGCCTAGAACCTGTGGTTAGCAGGGAAGGATGAGGGAGGAAGAGGGGGTGCAGCAGTTAGTAACATTAGCTGAAGCCGAGACGGTCGTACCGATCTCACACAGGTCCCCTTGGTAGCTGGGAAGGCATAAGCATGTGAAAGAGTCGATGGCGTCCACGCAGGTGGCTCCATTCAGACAAGGGCTTGAGAGGCACTCGTCAATGTCTGCAAGAAACCAAGGGCCACCATTAGGACTCCTGCCGGCAACTCCAGCTTCACAATTGCATTGCAGCTTCTTTATGGGTGGCCAGCCCTGCTGCTCTCCAGAGCCCTGGATTTTCTAAGAACTGTTGCTGCTGCTGCTGCTGCCGCCATCTTGGAGTGCTGAGCCAAAGATCCAACAAGGGTTTTCTTGGATGTGTGTGGCTCTGGATGGGCAAGCTTGGAGCATTGGAGCCAGGTTTCCCAGTGGGTGAAGGGATCTGCTGCTTCTGAGGGCAAATGCCTACTGTGAGAGTGAGCTTGGAGTTCCTCCAGGACGGCTTCTCTTGTGAATATTTCAAGAGGCCTTGAGGTCTGAATTGGCTCTCAAACATGGCGCTGCGCAAGGACACTGGAATTCCAGTTCTTGAAGCTTGGTTAGAGCTCTTTCTTTTCCTAGCTTCTTCTGTAGTTATGAACCAAGGAAAGAGGACAAGGCCGTGCAGTACTAGAACAAACAAGCTAGAAGTGGTTCACGGAGTATAGGATCGTGAGAAAATGGCAGTGTGGGATATCCACATGAGATTGTTAGATTTTTTTTTTTTTGGTTGCAGACACCTTCTTTGTCTTCAGTAAATTAGATTCTAGAGTATCTTATAAAGATGAAGCCAACATTGTTATCTTGGGGGGAGGGACAGAGACCCAGCCTAATATTTCCCCATGTAATCTCCTTCCAGTTTAAGGCCTCAGAACATGGACATCTCCAATGAGTCATGATTTCTAGAAGGGCTGCATCCTGGCCAGTGGGAGACCAGTGTTTGAAGCCAGTGAGGCACTTAGTAAGTGGCCACCCACCAGCACCAGCCTGGGCTACTGTCAGGTCCCCATCAGCCTCTGTTCCCCAGAAGACTCTTCTTTCCGTCTGTTCTTCTGGTCCAGGATGTTCTTTGTGATCCAACTTCTTTGTGGGACTTACATTGGTAAGTCATTGGCCTTTGCCTCAAATTTTCATCCATTAGCCAAGGTGAGAACTGAAACTCCTAATCTGGTCTTTCTGCACTTTCAGAGAAGCCAGAGACCTAGAGGATCCTTCTACTCTCTTTGTATTCGTTCTCCAAAAACACCGGCTGGGTTACTTCCTCTGGGAACATTATAAAAGGTATTGTGAAGCTCCTCTTCCCAGGGGATTAATAAAATTCTGGAATGAAAGGGTTCCACTGGCTTATGGGGGCAGCATGATATGTACAGCTATGTTCATACAACCTTCAGGACCTGGCGTGTCTGTGGGTGGTCTCATGTAGGCAGCTCCCTAAATATGTTCCAGGACTTAGTTCTTACCTCTCGTAAGAACTGACTAGATCTTAACGTCAATCCTCTGATAAGAAGATAAAAGCACTTTCTTCTGGATCCTTTTCACTAGTGCATAGCCGATGTTATCTAGACCAGAGCTGGGTTTGTGCAATGGGAGGCCTGAAAATCTCAAGTCCTCAGGTATGTCTCTCTTCCCACGAAGTTCTTGACTTTATTTCACGGAGTGTACACCATGGGCTAGAAACCAACAGTTCCAAGTTTGAAACTGTTCCAAGCAAAACCAAAATGCATGGAGGAATGGACTGAAATCCCAGCATGCACTTGGATTCCCAGCATGCACCAGGATTCCCAGCAGCAGCAGTAGCAGCAATAGGTCAGGCCGGTGGGCGGAAGCTGGGG